AAATGTACTTTTAAAAGAAGCTATACAGTACTTATAATTTTTATAGTAGGACTTTTGTGAGATTAATGGCCATAAACATACATTTTGGACACATACACATGTGATACTTATGTGGTCATTTAAATTGCTGTAATTTATTTATTTTAAAGAAAACAAAGTAATGCTTAGTGTGAAATATATTGTGCTGGGCGCAGTGGCTCACGCCTGTAATCCCAGCACTTTGGGAGGCTGAGCCAAGCGGATCACCAGAGGACAGGAGTTCGAGACAAGCTTGACCAACATGGAGAAACCCCGTCTCTACCAAAAATACAAAATTAGCCGGGTGTGGTGACGCAAGCTTGTAATCCCAGCTACTTGGGAGGCTGAGGCAGGAGAATCGCTTGAACCCAGGAGGCAGAGGTTGTGGTGAACCAAGATAGTGCCATTGCACTCCAGCCTGGGCAACAAGAACAAAACTCTGTCTCAAAAAATATATATATATATATTTGCCAGGCACGATGGCTCACGCCTATAATCCCAGCACTTTGGGAGGCCAAAGCCAGCAGATCATGAGGCCAGGAGATCAAGACTATCCTGGCTAATGCAGTGAAACCCCATCTCTACTAAAAATACAGAAAATTAGCTGGGTGTGGTGGCACGTGCTTGTAATCCCAGCTACTTGGGAGGCTCAGGCAGGAGAGTCACTTGAATCCAGGATGCAGAGGTTGCAATGAGCTGACATCACACCAGTGCACTCCAGTCTGGGAGACAGAGTGAGACTCCATCTCAAAAAAAAAAAAGAAATATCATATCTTGCTTTTTCCTTTCAAATTTTGGATTAATTTCACTTATTAGGAAAATTACTTTTATCAAAGAAAATCTTTTTATTTGCTTATTTCCTTTTCAAATTTAAAATTTCTCCTTTAATGACACATAGAAATCTTATAATTTTATATGTTATAGAAACGTAGGTGTTTAATGCATCCTAAAACTTAAATCCTATGTACATCCTGACTTTGCTTAGCTTCTGGATATGAGCTTGATGTAAAAAAAATAGCCAGAATTATTCTAGATTACAGATGGATAGATCCAGGGAATTAGGATTCTGATTATAATAAATGAAGAAATGTCTGGACTGTTAAATAAGATGAACCTAGTTCACATCTCTCAACCCTCTCCCCACCCTGGCTTACTAGCTGAGAGGCCTTGTTCTTTGCCACTCCTGTTATGTTCCTCTACCACTGCCTAAAATGCTCTTCCTTTCCCTTCTGCAAATCCAGATTCTACACTTCTTTTAAAGCCTACCTTCCCCCTCACTTCTTTCAGAAATCATTGTCTATCCATCTAGCATGCAAAAATCCTTCTCTGCAATATTCAAATCCCTGTAGTCTGTTCCCTCAAACCTAGGAGCTAACCACGTATTATTATATTCTGCATGTGACTTTCCTCCCACGGGAAACTGGAAGCTCTTCAAGGGAGGTTTTGAGTGTGCTACTTTTTTTCTAGACTCTCATCTTCATAACCTCAGGTACTTGATAAATAATTATTTATATTTTCCCATGTTTGCTTTAATAGTTAAACTAAAAATCTTGGACCTAAGTCCAGGCTTGTATATGCAAGGCTTGTGTACATAGTATAACACCTCTTACCATATAAGGAAACAAACTTTAAATACTTGTTCTCTGTTGCTTTATCCTTACATTAAATATCTTGGATGTGTTTTCAGTACTTCAGGAGTACTTTCTTTCTTTTTTTTTTTTCTTTTTTTCTTTTTCTTTTGTATAAGACCTCTCTTCTTATAAAGTTCTGTTAAACCAGTGTGGCACTTAAATCTTGTGTAGCACACAGTAGGTTGAGATAGAAAGAATGAAGGCTGGCTGTCACAGTTCCTTTACTCCAGGAAAGGATTATGTCTCAGGAGTGGCAAGTCACTTGTCTCTAACTTCTCAAATTTCCAAGAATTCCAGTTCTTGCCTTATTCCTTCTAGTCAAGAATCCCTTCTATTGCCTCCTATCCTAATTGTGTGAAATGTAAGTCACTTGCACCTCCTGAGACACAATTGTTTCCTGGAGTGAAGGGCACTTTCCTTCACTGCATCCCTGTGCAGTGTCCTCTTCAAATACATTTCTCCAGCAGAGACTGATTAAGTGAGCAGTAGGCAATCTACTAGTGAGCTATAAAGTATAGTTGCTGAAACTGTGTCCTGTTTCCAGTGGGTGAGCAGACAGTTGTGCGGAGCTTTCCCATTGCCTCCATCACCAAGGAGAAGAAGATTACCATGCAGAACCAGCTGCAACAGAATATGCAAGAAGGACTGCAGATCACGTCAGCATCTTTTCAGGTATTAAAAAAGGAAGCCATTCTTTTATTATTCAGACATTTTCAAAAATTGAATGATACCGTGGCCGTTTTCTGTGATCGTGTGCTCAGAAGTTAAGAGGACGAGGATGGGGAAGATCAGAGGGTCTGAGAGGGCAATCATTAACTAAGTAAACTCGTGAATAGTCTTGGATTTAATTCCTGGAGCCCCTTTGCCAACTCAGAGTACCAACAGATACTCAATAATGAGTGATCTTAGAAATGTAGACACATACAGTTGTTTCTCATTCTCTGCCAAGTTATGCCTTAATACCTGTTTGATGAAGCCTTCAGATAAAAAGCATTTGTCTTAGCATCTATTTCAGAAGGAAACTCCTTATGGCTGTTCTGTGGAAAGTATAAAGTATAGCTAGAGCTAAACTTTTTTTTTGTTGTTTATTTGTTTTTGTTTTTGTTTTTTCACTCTGTTATCAGGCTGGAGTGCAGCGGCTTGATCCTGGCTCACTGCAACCTCCGCCTTGTAGGGTACTTGCGATTCTCCTGCCTCAGCTTCCTGAGTAGTTGGGACTATGGGCACGCACCACCACGCCCAGCTAATTTTTGTATTTTTTTATTAGACAGGGTTTCACCATGTTGCCCAGGATGGTCTTAATCTCTTAGCCTTGTGATCTGTCCGCCTCGGCCTCCCAAAGTGCTGGGATTACAGGCGTGAGCCACAGTGCCCAGCCAGCTAGGGCTAAAGTTCTGTTGGTACCAGTTGCATACCCCTGATGAAGCAAGGGGTTTTCCAGGGGTTTGTGACTATATCAGAACCAGTAGAGTTACTGATGCAAACCAGACCCTGGAGGAAGTGGCCTTTTCTTAGTTTTTCCTTTTTTTAAACTCTCAGTTTGTAATAATTTGCTTTTCCTATTCTTCATGACTTCTCAGATTTTTAAGAATGCCACTTCCTGCCTCATTCCTTCTAGTCAAGGATCTCCCCTACTGGCTCCTGTGCTAATTGTGTGAAATGTAAGGCTGCTGACCTTTAGACCCCAGACCTCCCATCACCTGAAACCGTTGGCTGCCTAGGGATTTCCTCACACTTCCAACTACCAAAGAACTCCACACTCGAATATTCCCTAGCTGTACTGGTTAAGATTCTAGTCAAATGGATTTTTTTTCTTCCTACATTTGTTGTATCTGGTTAGGAAGAGACTTTATTAGGCCAAATTCCCTATCTGGAACCAAGCAGTTGAAAAATGAGAAGAGCATGTTTGCTAGTACAGTTCCCTATCCCATTGTAGATGAAATAGTCTTAAAGAAACTGACTTGAAGACAAATGATTTTGCTTACTAACTAGCCATGTATGGCAAGTAAACCTTTTTAAGGCTTTTATTATTATTATTATTTTAATTTAAAAATTGTATGTTGGCCGGGCGCGGTGGCTCACGCCTATAATCCCAGCACTTTGGGAGGCCGAGGCAGGTGGATCACGAGGTCAAGAGATCGAGACCATCCTGGTCAACAT